TCCCTTAACCTGAAATTCAGGAAGTATATTTGATGTCTTGATGAAAAACAGTACAGAAGCTGTCACACACTATAGTGTTCCTTTATGGAAGACTTCCTTTTTGCGCTAACACTGAAACATGGTAACCACACCAAAGTATAAGTAGCGTTTTCTGTGGACTTTGAATTTGAGTTTGGAGATTATCAGCCAGGATTTTCCGAACATGATCTGACTTAATTTGTTAGGGCTAACTGTGACATTGACCTGATGACAATCTAATTTAAAACATTCCTTAGTTGGCCTCAATAGGAACAATATGTCATGATGATTTGGAGTAATTGAAGGTTTTGTAATATCAATACATTGAAGCTAATCTAAAAATGTCTATGCTGCCTCAAGCAATCTATACATTCAATGAAATCCCTATCAAACTATCATCAACATTTTTCACAGAGTTGGAACAAATAATCCAAAAATTTGTATGGAAGCAGAAAAGACTTCAATTTGCCACAGGAATTTTGAAAAAGAAAACCAAAGCTTCAGGCACCAGAATGCCTGACTTCAAGCTATATTACAAACTTTGATAATCAAGACAGCATGGTACTGTCACAAAAACAGACACATACGTCAATGGAACAGATTAGAGACCCCAGAAATGGACACTCAACTCTATGACCAAGTAATCTTTGACAAAGCAGGAAAGAATATCCAATGAAAAAAAGGCAATCTCGTCAATAAATGGTGCTGGGAAAATTGGACAGCTATCTGTAGAAGAAACTGGACCATTCTTTTACATCATACACAAAGATAAACTCAAAATGGATGGAAGACTTCAATGTGAGATGGGAATCCAAGACAAGAAACAAGTATTGGTGAGGTTGTAGAGAAAGGAGAATCCTCCTGTGCTGTTGGTGGGAATGCATGCTTGTACAGCCACTCTGGAAAACAGTATTGAGGTTCCTTAGGATGTTTAAAACAGAGCTACCCTACAACCCAGCAATTGCACTACTGGGTATTTACCTCAAAGATACAGGTGTATTGAAAAGAAGGGACACATACACCCCAGTGTTCATAATAGGAATGTCCACAATAGCCAAACTGTGGATGGAGCTGAGATGCCCTTCAACAGATGAATGTATAAAAAAGATGTGGTTTGTGTATACAATGGAATATTACTCAGCCATCAGAAAAGATGAATACCTACCATTTCCATTGACCTGGATGGAACTGGAGGGTATTATGCTAAGTGAAATAAGTCAAGTATAGAAAGACAGTTATCATATGGTTTCACTCATATGTGGAATATAAGGAATAGTGTAGAGGGCAATAGAGGTGGGGGGAAAACTGAATGGGAAGAAATCAGATAGGGTGACAAACCATTAAAGACTCTTAACTATAGGAAACAAACTGAAGGTTGTGGAAATGGAAGGTTGGGGGAATGAGGTAACTTGGTGATAGGCATTAAGGAGGGCATGTGATGTGATGAGCAGTGTTATACTGAACTGATGAATCATTGAACATTACATAAAAAAACAATGATGTACTATACCTTAGCTAATTGAATTTAAATAAATACATAAATAATAAAATTTTTAAAAAAGCATTTCAGAAACAACCAAAGTGAGTCATGTGTGGTAAAACAACTTAGGATTTTGTGTTCTTTAAGATCAAACTAGGAACAGAATATGTTGACACATCAACAAAATAAACATGGTGGGTAAAAAGAATATTTGGTCAGCACCCATTAATGAGAATACAAATGCTTATGATTTCATTCAATAGGAGCACAAGTTTAAAGTCACAAAAACATCTTAGTATAACTCATTAATATATTAAAAAACAATTGAACCAATTAGATGTTCTCAAAAGTATTCCTAGAGCAAAATTTATGAGTTTCTCCCTTGTATTACTCAAAATGGAAACTTCCAGCAAAGCTTGATCAGATAAGAGAATATGATCAGATGTTGATTCATGACTCTATTTTTAAAATTGTCCAAATAGTCTGCAACAAGGTAAGGATTTTTACACAATTTAGAGAAGATGCATTAAAAGTGCAAATATTTTCACAGATTTTCCAGTTGTGCTAAAAGACAAAAAAAAGAAAAAATGATTTTTTATAAATTAGAGTGAGGCACAACTTTCTCTTAAACTTGAAGATATGACCACATTGTTATGAAGAGAGGATGAAAACTACCCTTATATTTAAGAAAATCTTGCATCCTCCTATTGTCATAGCTCACTAGCCTACAAAGAAAACTTTAGAGTTGAGAAATAAGAATCTATCACTTTTGAGAATTAGAAAGCGAGTATTTTCTATTACTTTGTGGAAGAAGCCCTAGCTATGCTCCCAGGACTGAGCCATGTATGTAGAGAAGTCATGGACGTATAACATGGCTTGGCTCTTTAAGGAATTAAGCCAAATTCCTAGAATTATATCCCAAAACAGATGGCTGGCCAGTTCTCCCAGTAGCCTCTTCTCTGCGGAAAAAAACAACTGTGAAACTCAGGGGAAATATGTTTTAGGATGAGGAGCCTGTAGCCATGTATCCACATACGACCAGCAAAATTTTAAAAGGATTTCAAGTGCTTTTAGTCCTGAGCAAAATCCTAGGCAGAAATCTCTGTTTGCAATATGGGCAGGGGACTCATTCTTCATTCCCCCAAAGAATATGCTCATTTTTTCCCCCTGATTTCAAGCCAGCTCCCTTTTTGATTTTCTGATTTTTTTTTTTTTTTTAGTAGCAGTGAGACACCATAGTGATTAAGAATATAAACACGGGAAGCACACCACCTAAGTTAGCATTTGACCTTGGGCAAGTCACTTGACCTCTTGGAAATTCGGTTTCTTCATCAATAAAATGAGGAATAGAATAATACTTCACAGGTTGTGGTAAAGATTAAATGAGAATGAATTTAATGGGCTTAGCATAAAAATCTAGTTTTTGATGTGTTCAACAAATGTTAGTATTGCTATCAAGGGTGCCACCATCTTCCCAATCCTGGATTCCCAATCATTTAAAACAGAATTAGTTTTTCTAATTTATCTCTTATTATTTGATGCTGCACCGGACCTTGTAAAGTATGGTTCCTAAACATCTTTGGAAATTATCCTTTTATTTTTGATGTTGCAATCATAATGTATTCCACCACCTCTCACTTGGAATATAGAAGTGCTTCCCAACTGGTTTCCCAATATATCTTGCTGTCAGATTAATCTTCTTAAATAGAATGCTGGGGGTGAAGCCACTACAGGTGAGATAGGAATTTAAACATTCCTAGTAGCACTGGCTGTGGGTTGAACTACTCTGCTAGTTTGTAGAATTGCTATATTACACACCACAGTACACGACCAGTGTCCCCACTATAAAAACTATAAAACTTAAGACAAATATGTAATTGCTGTGTTTTCAATTAAATGTTAAATGTTAAATTATAATGGCCAGACCTGAAGAAAGAATTAAACAACAACAAAACAAAAACAAAAACAAAAAATACACAAGGTACCATTATTTCTTTTTTTATTATTATTATGTTCAGTTAGCCACTGTATAGTACATAATTAGTTTTTGGTGTAGTGTTCATTGATTCATTAGTTAAGTATAACACCCAGTGCTCATCACAGCATGTGCCCTCCTCAATACCCACATTTCTAAGTAATCGTGAACATCTGGCCCTGTGTAAGGCAATGATCCCCACTATTCTCCTCCATCTACCTTCTCATCTGCAGCCTATCAGAGAAAATTAAGGGTGTCATCACAAAGCTCTGATAATAGAGACAAGCAACAGGCTCCAGAGTCAAGGAAACCTCCGTGAGGAAAACTCCAACCGGAAATTTCTTAGACAGAGGGATGATAACATATTCAAGTCTCTTTAATAAGTATGAGTAAATGGGGGATTCTTTTGTTTGTTTTGTGTTTTTTTTTTGTTATGTCCTTTACACAAGAGACCCCTTCACTGTCTTCAGCAGCAGGACTAATTATAAACTCTTTACCACTCCACCTGTATTTACCAACCTCCACAGCATGAATTTCACATAGTGAAATGTCTATCAGTGTCAGGCAGAACTGATGATGAAGGAATAACATGATTACACTAGCAGCACATGTAAATATTCCAGGTATGATTTCTAACTCAGCCCTCTTGGGGATTATTTTAATTTCCCCCACTAGAGTTGGATTAGTATATGGCTAAACTTCGTGCTCTTCACTCACACTTTCAGCCCCCTAAATGCATAGGTATACACTCCCTTGTTTTTCTCCCTGCAGATTTCACAATTGGTGGTCGAAGAGAAACAAGGTCTGGACTGAGAACTTACTCTGGTTTCCCTGACCCGAGAGAGTGAAAGGATTTGGATTATTTCAGAGATTCACTATGAGCTTTCCACCTTTCCTGTGACTCATCCTGTCCTACCTGCAAAATGGGGAGTTGAAGAGGCAAGAGTGATATATTTCTGATTTAGTATTGCTCTAGGTTGGGAAATTGAAATTACAAAACAACCGCCAAGAAAGAAAACAAGATGTTGAGAGAATGAACCAAGTAACTATAAACAAAGTTCTGAGTGTTCTTTAAAGGGAAGGTATTATTATAAAGGTACAGAACAGTCATGGACTGTGCTTTTGGGACCTGGGTGAGTACAGAGCTGAGGAAGCTTGACTTGGTGCCAAGTTACAGTTCCTGGCCCCTTGGGGGGCCAGGCGCAGGTTTGGGAAAACAGAATCAGGGCATGGGCTATTGTGGCCTGGACAGAGCCTGAAAGACATAATACAGCAGGCTTCCTTCCTGTCCTGTTCTTATCTGACTGTGCAGAGGGTGGGTGGGAGCACGCCTGGAGTGCAGGTGAGGCATTTCAAGCCCCAGCCGCCCCAGGCCTCCACCTCCCCTTCTCTTTCTTCACAGACAACCCCCACCCCATCCAAGCATTTGAACCCCCTCCCGCTCCTCCTACGGCTCCTCCCTGGGCCCTCCCACGGTCTCTCCCCCCCACCCCCAGCTTGGGACTGCGTCATAAGTATCCCCAGACCTGGGCTTGCAGCTGCCTGACAGGCGAGGGAGAAAATAGGTCCTGCTAGGACTAGCGCGATCTCTCTACAACCTGCAACCCGGGAAGCTCATTTGAGCCACGCCTTACCAGGAAGCCCAAAGATTCACAATGGTGAAAATCGCCTTCAATACACCCACGGCGGTGCAAAAAGAGGAGGCGCGGCAAGACGTGGAGGCCCTTGTAAACCGCACGGTCCGAGCTCAAATCTTGACCGGCAAGGTAGCAGTACTCATTTCACCCCAGACTGCCTGCTAGGGTCCGTAAGGTGGGGAGGGGTGGTTTGCGGGGAGGAAGTGGCAAGTGGCAGAGGACAAAATGAAAGCTGCCCCTCTTCTGTTAAACTGGTTTACCGGTTGCCCCAGTTGCATTTAGTCGCGCCACCTTCCGCTTGCAGTGCCTTACACCCTTTAACATCCCAGTGTCTTGCACTACTTTCTGTCCTTTCCAGCTCTTGTGGTACATTTCCAAGCGATGTTACAGGGAGTTTGAGGAGAACCCCTGTGACCTGATGTCACCCTCTCCTGGGGAACATGTGAGGGGCTGGGATCAATGAGGCACGTTGTTCAGACTCCAGCTCGAGGAGTGCACACAGCCTCTACAGTGAAGGAGCAGACACTCAGGGAGAACAGGGGCAAGAGATTTAACTCTTCTTTCTTTCCTTTTGGTGGGGATAAAGTTCTATGATTCTAACTCTTTCTAGTATCTCGGAATGTTTGTGGGGGTGGGGTATGGGACCAAAGACAGCTTTGACTTAGAACGGTATGGGTTGGGGTCAGTATGTGTCTGTGTTCACCGGTGTGTATATTTTCAATTTCTCCCTGATGCTAGGCGGTTTTAAGAATTCAGTAAATAAGCTGTGAAAATTGAAGTTGCTCTTTTTTTTAAGATTTTATTTATTTATTTGACAGAGAGAGAGAGATCACAAGTAGGCAAAGAGGCAGGCAGAGAGGAGGAAGCAGGCTCACTGCTGAGCAGAGAGCCTGATGCAGGGCTGGATCCCAGAACCCTGAGATCATGACCTGAGCCTAAGGCAGAGGCTTAACCCACTGAGCCACTCAGGCGCCCCTGAAGTTGCTCTTAATTAGAGTTTGGGACGTTCACTGTGCCCTCTTACTGCAAGATCCTTGTTATGTTTTCACAGTGGCATTTCCTAAAGACAACACTCTTCATCCCTAAAAAGAAATGTTGAGGTTTATTTTCTTCTTCTTTTATTGCTTCCTTTTTGTGATACCCCCCCCCAGACACACGCCTCCCCCATGGAGAGATCTGAAGCGGGTCTGACCTTGAATTTAAACTTACAGCATTGCCAGAAACTGAGGTAGTTTCCCCCCAAATATTAGCCACTGTTTATTTAGTCCAATTTCTTTTTCTTTTAAACATCTAACATGTTTTCAAAGTTTGTAAACTACTCATTTTCCTCAGTAAAATGTCAATGTTGAAAGGGACATTTGTATTCTCTTCTTCTACCAAATTTTCTTCTTCTACCACACAGTGTCAGAGTTTCCAGATCTATTTTGATTTGTCTTATTCTCTCTTTAAAGTTTTAACTTTTGTGTTCAGACTGGAGATTTGCAAAGTACTTTTAGTGAAATGAGAATCCGTGTAGTAAAACATTATGCACCAATTTGAAATGTTTGTATGCTTATACAGAGTTTTTGTCACAGAATTTTAAAATATTTAACCCAGCAAAGAAAACTTGCTTTTGGGTATTATACATTTGAGAAGTCAAAAGTAACACCCCCTTGCATTGTTGAGGTTTTGAATAAATGACAGATCAAATATATAACTGTCCTATTCACTTTGTAAGTGAAAAATGGCTTGATTTTTTGCGGGGTCTAATTAGATGCCAGTAGTTAAATATAGCCACACAGTAATCCCTTTATTTTTCTCTCACCATCAAAAACTTCATGACTTGTAGTTGGACACAGTTAATATGTAAGCAGTATTCCTGCCAGGCCTGTGGTGTGATGAGGAATAAATAAAAATGAGCATTTGCACCATGATTATATTTCTTTGTTAGAGCTTCCACAGGATCCTGACCTTGTCACTACAGGACATTGATTTAATAATACTTGACACATTATATTGTGATGTATTAATCTGCTCATCAGAAACCTAGCACAACAGAATAGTATATCAGAAGTTGTGTACAATGACTTTAAAATACAGTTTAGAGGGAAATTAGCTATGGTAAGTGAGAGTCCATACCACTCTGAATTCTAGCAAATGCAAATGAAAAAAAAATCCTTATTCCTAGTATGGTGAGGAATTTTATTATATTGAAACTCTAACACTTAGACTTTGCTTAATAATCAATGAAACTCAGTGTAAATAGCTCTTCTCATATCTCAACAAGAAAAAATAAATTAATTGTTTTGAGTATTTAAAATTAAGTCATTTTGTGACTTACAGGCAAGTAACATCATCTGTCTGGACCTCAATTTAATCATCTACAATATAATTTCAAAGCATCTAGCTCTAGATTACAGTTACTCACAGTCATAATTTATTGTTCTGTCTTTGTAATGTTAATCTTTTGTTAGTTTTTTTAATAAAAATAATTTATAATTTCTGAAAGCTATTGGGACAAGGAAAAGCCTTCAAGGTTTATAGAGTATTAATGGAGGGTTTGAAATTAAATACATTTAGCTAAGAAAATGTGCATACCAAATTTCTTTGAATTTTAATTAAGATAATTTTTCAAAAAAAATTTATCAAAGAATTGTCTCTCTTTAGAATATAGGCACTTGTTTTCACAGATTAATTGAAACTTAACTAGGTGCCACAAGCATTACAGTAGCTGTCCTGGAAAAGAGCTAATGGCCTGAAATAATAAAACAGTTCTATTTTCACACTATTCTGAATGATTTACTCATTGATTACAAGAAACTACACTTGATGACTTTGTTTATTCCACCCTTCAGTAATAATACTGCTTAAAACATCATGAAATACAAGAATGGGATTGGAGTGTCCCTTAGACCATTGCCTTGGGAAGAATACAGAGTTACTTGTTTGCTTTGGATCTTTCTTGTTCCAATTCCTGAACCAATTATGGATTTAATGGAATTTTTGCAGTAACTGTTATACACACACACATTTTGTGCCCAGTTATCACAAATGCTGTACTATAAGGTCTAGTGTTTTACCCGGAACTTAGAAAACATTATTTCATTCATGCAGTAGACAACTAAAGAACAGTGGGTGATATTAGAAAGGTTAAATTCTCATTAAAATTAAGAACATTATGAAATATATCACGCCTCCAATATTTTAATTTCTGAAATGAGGGGAAATGACATATACCTGCCTTACAGAATTTTTCTAAGATAAAACAATAAAAACCAGCTTTTTGAAAATCATTTAATAAATCAAAGGACACTAATCACCTTTAAGTTGGCAAAATTTGATTTACAAAAAATAGTAAAGCAACATAATTATAGTCCAGAAAGTTAGTGATTATATCACTGTAAAAGTCCCCAAATCAACAAAGAATAAACAATATAATTTATTGCATAAATGAATGGTGATTTTCAGCTGATTCTAAAAGTGCGTATTTTGAAAAAAAAAAAAAACTCATGTCTGCAATTGGGTTTGTAAATGCCAGAAGGAAAGTAAATACAATTGGCAATTTTTCACATCTATTAAATATCAGAAATTATCTTGAAATATTTTAACCTAGGATGATTTAACATCTTTTAAGAATGTCTTGTGTTTCAAGAAAGTAAATTGTACACAAAGCAACTATGTGTCTAAAAGTGCAATCTGGTTTTTGTCTTTGGTTTGCTTTTTAATAAACAGGAGCTCCAAGTTGCCACCCAGGAAAAAGAGGGCTCCTCTGGGAGATGCATGCTTACTCTCTTAGGCCTTTCATTCATCTTGGCAGGACTTATTGTTGGTGGGGCCTGCATTTACAAGTACTTCATGCCCAAGGTAATAATAATTACAATTCTTGTAATTTGGATTACTAATTGCTATATATTTAGTAGCAACTTAAGGAAATCGGTGGTGTCACCACAGAAATAAAGATTTAGGACAAGTTTTCAAATTTCCATTCAATTTATAAAACTGCCCTTCATGGTGATAATTGTTATCAGAAATTCTAAGCTTGACAAACAGTACAACAAATTGATGTGAGTGTGAGAAATGATTCAAATGTCACCGTAGTAAGTATTAAAAGGTTTTAATTCTCCCTTTTTATCTTTTAGAGTACCATCTACCGTGGAGAGATGTGCTTCTTTGATTCTGAGGACCCTGCAAATTCCCTTCGAGGAGAAGAGCCCTACTTTTTGCCTGTGACCGAGGAAGCTGACATTCGAGAGGATGACAACGTTGCAATCATTGATGTGCCTGTCCCCAGTTTCTCTGACAGTGATCCTGCAGCAGTTATTCATGACTTTGAAAAAGTGAGTTTCTCATTTTTAAAGGTTTTCTTGTTTTCTTTCTTAGTTCATTAGCGAGCATTAAATCTGTTCATAAATGTTCATCTTTTTGCAGGAGAGCCTTTTTCACTTTTGCTATTGAAAATACCTTAGCAGGTATTAAAAGGATATAGCTGCTTGTTTTAATGGTAGTTAGAATCGGCAGAGTTGATATTCTTTACACCTTAGTTAACTTTCCCCCCTCCCCAACAGGGCATGACTGCTTACTTGGACTTGCTGCTGGGGAACTGCTATCTGATGCCCCTCAATACCTCTATCGTTCTGCCTCCAAAGAATCTGATGGAGTTCTTCGGCAAACTGGCAGTATGTATTTTGGATGTCAAATTTTTACTTAAGCATTTGGTTCCTCATTTAAAAACAATAATTATTTGAGCCAAAACATTCCATTTTATTGAAATAATTTTAAAATAAAAAGTATGCTGTAACCTAAAACTGCTCTAAAAAATAAAGTCTATTTTAAAAAAAACACAACTATAACTGCTATAGGTAAGGATTTAAATGGTGTTTTTAAGAAGTTTTTATTTTAATCTTTTTAAACAAATTTTAGAGTGGCAAATACTTGCCTCACACTTATGTTGTTCATGAAGACCTGGTTGCTGTGGAGGAGATTCGAGATGTTAGTAACCTTGGCATCTTTATTTACCAACTTTGCAACAATCGCAAGTCCTTCCGCCTTCATAGAAGAGACCTCTTACTGGGTAGGCAATATAGCCTTTCCTTCAACCTGTGTTATTGGGAAAGTGAAGGAGAGTATAGGAGTAGCATAGGGGGAAAGTAGAGAACAAATCTAGGTATGTTTTCATTTAAATAAAAAGTTAAAAAGTCAATTCTTTGTGCATTTTCTCACAGGTTTCAATAAACGTGCCATTGATAAGTGTTGGAAGATTAGACACTTCCCCAATGAATTTATCGTTGAGACCAAGATCTGTCAAGAGTGAGAGGCGACAGAAAAAGAGTATCCTTAGTAAGAAGTCAGAGATTTGCAATAAAACTTCAACATTAAAGTGTGTAGGGTACTCATATTTACTCATGCATATACTCTACTGCTTATACCCAAAAAAGAAGGAAATAAAAACTACTAACCACTGCAAGTTCTTGTCAATGTTTAGTTTAATTGACACTGATTTTTGTTTGAAATTGAAATTAAATGATTCTATGTTTTTCTTTTTAATTTATAGGGTTTAGGCTTCTGAAAGTAGCATGAATAAGCCAGCTTATATCCTGACAATAAATTCCATCCTTTGTGTGTGTTTTTAAGTAAGCTCTTCACTCAATCATATGGTAAAACATGTTTTAAGTTTAAAATATTTAAAATTGGGGCACCTGGGTGTCTCAGTGGGTTAAAGCCTCTGCCTTTGGCTCAGGTCATGATCCCAGCATCCTGGGATCGAGCCCCGCATCGGGCTTTCTGCTCTGCTTCCTCCTCTCTCTGCCTGCCTCCCTGCCTGCTTGTGATCTCTCTCTCTGTCAAATAAATAAATAAAATCTTTAAAAATAAATAAATATATAAAAATAAAATATTTAAAATTATTTCAGAATGATTTGTGCAAAATATATCAGATTTCTTAACATTGCTAATTTTGTTTTGTTTTTCATTTTATACAACTTTCCTGAATTTAGAAATTATCTTTGCATTTCTGTTAGGTGCTCTATAATAGATTTGATTTACATGTAAAAAAATTTCATAAAGTAGTCATTTTAAAAAATGCAGTGATTCTGTCTCACTAATATCCATATTGTGGAATCCATAAAGCTGTGTAAGTGTTGAGGAATTTAGGTTGTATGAATTCTACAACCCTATAATAAATTTTATCATATTCAACCATCGTTTCTCACTTAATGCAAACAATTAACGTTACTTATTTAACTTTGGTGTACCTGAAATAGATCAAAATTATGAACTTAGCTCTGCACTTACTCCTACTTCCACACATTTCTAATTTGTAATCTCATATTTTATTCCTCTTTTGATATTATATCTATTTCTTATAAATTCCTCATAATTGGTATACAGGTAAACTATTTCTTAAAAGCTTTCAGGCTCATAGCAATTTCAAACATTTTAATATGTTTTTTTTTCATAAAAATATGCAACCATATATACAATTATAAAGGTCACTAAGAACTAACCTTGGATAAAATGTTGATGACTTCTGCCTGGGTGGCTCAGTGGGTTAAGCCTCTGCCTTTGGCTCAGGACATGGTCTTGGAGTCCTAGGACTGAGCCCCACATCAGGACTTCTGCTCATCAGGGAGCCTACTTCCCCCTCTCTCTCTGCCTGCCTCTCTGCCTACTTGTGATTTCTCCCTCTGTCAAATAAATAAATAAAATCTTAAAAAAAATGTTGATGACTTCTAATAACATCATGTGCTATGATTTGTACTCACTTGTTTAAGAGTATAAACTCCACACAAAGGGGGGCAACATTTTACACTCTTTCTCTTGTATTAGGTTAAAACTTGTTTATGATATTATTGATCACCTCCTGGTAGTGATAATTCATTTTACTAGCTAAAACTCTACCCAGTCCAATCTATTACCATAAATACTCTTTTTTTAGAGAGGGAGAGAGCACAGAGGGAGAGGGGAAAGGGAGAGAGAGCTGGGCATGGAGCCTGACACAGGCCTCAATCTCACAAACCTGAGATCACAACCTGAGCTGTAATCAAGAGTTGGACATTTAGCCAACTAAGCCATGAAGCTACCACCCTAAATACTCTTAAAACAAATTCATTAAATATTTAACTTCAAGAATATAGAATAAAATAACAGAAACCTTTAAAGATGGAAAAAAGATGAAAATTTAGAAAATAAAAACAGTAGCAGAAAAATTAACTGGTGCTTTATAAAGGTTGAGAATATTTAGAAGGAAATTGATAAAATTAGACACCCATTTCCTATTTTGCAAATAAGTAAGAATTGGGAAAAAAGATACATTTTTATTTATTTATTTATTTATTTATTCATTTTAATAAACATATAATGTATTTTTATCCCCAGGGGTACAGGTCTGTGAATTGCCAGGTCTACACATTTCACAGCACTCATCATAGCACATACCCTCCCCAATATCCATATCCCCACCACCCTCTCCGACCCCCCTCCCCCCAGCAACCCTCAGTCTGTTTTTTGAGATTGAGTCTTTTATGGTTTGTCTCCTTCCCGATCCCATCTTGTTTCATTTTTTCTTTTCCTACTCCCAAAACCCCCCACATTGCATCTCCACTTCCTCACATCAGGGAGATCATATGATAGTTGTCTTTCTTCGATTGACTTATTTCGCTAAGCATAATACCCTCTAGTTCCATCCACATCGTTGCAAATGGCAAGATTTCATTTCTTTTGATGGCTGCATAGTATTCCATTGTATATATATACACCACTTCTTCTTTATTCATTCATCTGTTGATGAACATCAAGGTTCTTTCCATAGTTTGGCTATTGTGGAAATATTGCTATAAACTTTTGGGTGCACATGCCCCTTTGGAGCACCACGTTTGTATCTTTAGGATATATAACCAGTGATGCAATCGCTGGGGCATAGGGTAGCTCTATTTTCAGTTTTTTGAGGAACCTCCACACTATTTTCCAGAGTGGTTGCACCAGCTTGCATTCCCAAGAACAGTGTAGGAGGGTTCCCCCTCTCTCCGCATCCTCCCCAGCATCTGTCATTTCTTGACTTGTTAGTTTTAGCCATTCTGACTTGTGTGAGGTGGTATCTCATTGTGGTTTTGATTTGTAGTTCCCTGATGCCGAGTTATGTGGAGCATTTTTTCATGTGTCTGTTGGCCATCTGGATGCCTTCTTTGCAGAAATGTCTGTTCATGTCCTCTGCCCATTTCTTGATTGGATTATTTGTTCTTTGGGTGTTGAGTTTGCTAAGCTCTTTATACATTTTGGATATTAGCCCTATATCTGATATGTCATTTGCAAATATCTTCTCCCATTCTGTCAGTTGTATTTTGGTTTTGTTAACTGTTTCCTTTGCTCTGCAAAAGCTTTTGATCTTGATGAAGTCCCAATAATTCACTTTTGCCCTTGCTTCCCTTGCCTTTGGCGATGTTCCTAGGAAGAAGTTGCTGCGGCTGAGGTCAGAGGTTTCTGCCTGTGTTCTTCCCAAGGATTTTTATGGATTCCTTTCTCACATTGAGGTCCTTCATCCATATTGAGTTTATTTTCATCTGTGGTGTAAGGAAATGGTACAATTTCATTTTTCTGCATATGGCTGTCCAATTTTCCCAACACCATTTGTTGAAGAGGGGGTCTTTTTTCCATTGGACATTCCTTCCTGCTTTGTCAAAGATTAGTTGACCATAGAGTTGAGGGTCTATTTCTGGGCTCTCTATTCTGTTCCATCATTGGTCTATGTGTCTGTTTTTGTGCCAGTACCATACTGTCTTGATGATGACAGCTTTGTAATAGAGCTTGAAGTCTGGAATTGTGATGCCACCAACTTTGGCTTTCTTTTTCAATATTCCTTTGGCTATTTGAGGTCTTTTCTAGTTCCATATAAATTTTAGGATTATTTGTTCTATTTCTTTGAAAAAAAATGGATGGGATTTTGATAGGGATTGCATTAAATGTGTAGATTGCTTTAGGTAGCATAGACATTTTCACAATATTTGTTTTTCCAATCCATGAGCATGGAACATTTTTCCATTTCTTTGTGTCTTCCTCAATTTCTTTCATGAATACTTTATAGTTTTCTGAGTATAGATTCTTTGCCTCCTTGGTTAGGTTTATTCCTAGGTATCTTATGGTCTTGGGTGCAATTGTAAATGGGATTGACTCCTTAATTTCTCTCTCTTCTGTCTTGTTGTTAGTGTAAAGAAATGCAACTGATTTCTGTGCATTGACTTTATATCCTGACACTTTACTGAATTCCTGTACAAGTTCTAGCAGTTTTGGAGTGGAGTGTTTTGGGTTTTCCACATATAGTATCATATCATCTGCAAAGAGTGATAGTTTGACTTCTTCTTTGCTGATTTGGATGCCTTTAATTTCTTTTCATTGTCTGATTGCTGAGGCTAGGACTTCTAGTACTATGTTGAATAGAAGTGGTGATAATGGACATCCCTGCCATGTTCCTGACTTTAACGGAAAAGCATTCAGTTTTTCTCCATTGAGAATAATATTTGCAGTGGGTTTTTCATAGATGGCTTTGATAATATTGAGGTATGTGCCCTCTATCCCTACACTTTGAAGAGTTTTGATCAGGAAGGGATGCTGCACTTTGTCAAATGCTTTTTCAGCATCTATTGAGAATATCATAGGGTTCTTGTTCTTTCTTTTATTAATCCATTGTTATCACATTGATTGATTTGCAGATGTCGAACCAACCTTACAGCCCTGGAATAAATCCCACTTCGTTGTGGTGAATAATCCTTTTAATGTACTGTTGGATCTTATTGGCCAGTATTTTGGTGAGAATTTTTGCATTTGTGTTCATCAAAGATATTGGTCTGTAATTCTCTTTTTGATGGGATCCTTGTCTGGTTTTGGGATCAAGGTGATGCTGGCCTCATAAAATGAGTTTGGAAGTTTTCTGTCCATTTCTATTTTTTGGAACAGTTTCAGGAGAATAGGAATTAGTTCTTCTTTAAATGTTTGGTAGAATTACCCTGGGAAGCCATCTGGCCATGGACTTTTGTTTGTTTGGAGGTTTTTAATGACTGTTTCAATCTCCTTACTGGTTATGGGTCTGTTCAGGTTTTCTATTTCTTCCTGGTTAGTTGTGGTACTTTATATGTCTCTAGAAATGTATCCATTTCTTCCAGATTGTCAAATTTATTGACATAGAGTTGCTCATAATATGTTCTTGTAATTGTTTGTATTTCTTTGGTGTTGGTTGTGATCTCTCCTCTTTCATTCATGATTTTATTTATTTGGGTCCTTTCTCTTTTCTTTTTGATAAGTCTGGCCAGGGGTTTATCAATCTTATTAATTCTTTCAAAGAACCAGCTCCTAGTTTCGTTGATTTGTTCTATTGTTTTTTAGTTTCTATTTCATTGATTTCTGCTCTGATCTTTATGATTTCTCTTCTCCTGCTGGGTTTAGGCTTTTGTTGTTGTTCTTTCTCTAGCTCCTTTA